GTGGATCAAATGGTCGACGTTGCTGAAAACAAAACCGAGAGCACCAGAACTGCTCGTAGCTTGGCTTCTTCAAGTACCCACAATATTATTTTATATTATTTTCATCACCAAATTGTATTGTTTGCCGAGTTGAATACTATCAATACGGAGAATGCAATCGAATGTTCGTAGCAGTATTAGGGACTCTGCTCCTGTGAATCAGACAGGTGTCTCTTCCAGGCTCGCGCTTCATTTTGTCAACGCGAAAAATCTTTATGGTGATGAATTTATAGTGTAATTCCAAAAATATTTCCAAATTTAATATATTTTAAAATTGTATATAATCGTCGCACAACTAACACATAAATATACAATTTTTTTAAACACATACAATTTTTTAAAAAAAATTCTCTTTCATATATAATTTGTAGAATATACATACTAAATATTACACATACAGGTGTCAGAATAAATGTTACACACTTCTGGGGCTTGATTTTTTTTCATTGAACTTGTAGTGCAAAATTTCATATGAAGGAGTTACACATGTGATATTTCTCCCTGATTGCATAGATGTTCGGCAGGTCTCGTTGAGACGTAGTCAAGGAGACTTCGTGTATCTACCAAACGTCGGATTGACTAAACACCTATAGCAAATGTTACATGTATAAATGTATATAAGTAAAATATAATATATTAGTTTTATGATAAAATATGATATATTATTTGATGATGGGAGTTATATATACTACAGCAAAACGCCTATTTTCACTTTCATAACAAAGTAATAAATTTGCTTATGAAACGACAAAAGTGTTTTGAGCATTACTTTGAACAAAACCTACTATGAGTTTTGAAAACATTATCAGTAGCGCTATGGATATTTTTGTGAGGACACGCTTCACAGAGAAAAACTTCAAAATGAGTTGTGCTACAACAGTACATACTCGCAGTTTCTAGCTTTATTTCTAACGTGTGCAATTTTTGAAAATTAAAAGAGTTAGATTAAAATGAGACTTGCGCCATTTTTAAGCGCCCTTTACTCTACCTGACGAAAGATTTAAGGAAAAAATTGAAAGCGCTTTTTGAGAAAATATTTGTTTCATATGTTACACTAACTACAAACATAAATTTATTCAATAATTGTGCTTAACCCTATTTGAAGTTCTACTTTTTTAGAGCAGATTTAATTTCACTTAATCATTATCATTGTTTTTCTTTAGCAATATTAATTTGTTGCACAATTTTCGAAGATATAGAGAGTTCCCCAAAAATGGGACGAGCGCCCTTTCCTTATCGCACTTTTACATCTACCAGGAAAAGTTCTAAGAAAAAATTTTTGGAAAATAATTGTATAAAATTGCCTATATCTCACGCAGAATTACGCAGAAACTACTAATTTGTACAATATGTTATTTCAAATCAAACCAAATGATCAAATTCATTTTGGACTGAATAAATCTAATCTAAGCTAATCTTCATGCAGGGAAAATCTGCATCTCCCATCTCTATCTCCAAGGTAGGTGGGGCAGAATTTATAGGAAGACGCCGAAAAAATTGTACCTTTTCAATTTTCGAAACTTCTGATGTTTTAACGAAAATTTGATCTGCATCATTTTTTAAGTGTTATTTACGCTATCCAAGAAAAAGGTCAATAAAAAAGCATTACAATACTTTCGCTTTAGAAAAAAGCAATAACGTTTTTGAATTGTTGATTTTGCTACAGAAATACTAAAATAATGAATTTTTACTTCGTTTTAAAATGATTGTATTTCTAGCTTATGTGCTTTACTGGACGTTTTATCATGCTGGACAATTGGTCATTAATGAAAAATGGAAAATTTGTCCTCTTTAGGCCTAATTTATACAATACGAATTTTGAAATATTGAATAGGACTATCTTTGTGCATGGACTACTTCTATTGGCCCAAATCTCTTGGAAACCTTTCTATTAATCTCTTCAGTTTCGTAACAATGCAACAAAGTAATAGTTCTGACTGAATGTAATATCAATACATAAGATTAGGTGCCAGTTGTAATATGTGCGTATGTCAGACAGCAGTTATAATAAAAATAATAATAATAATAATAATAATAATAATAATGTCTTTATTGATATGGCGAGTCTCGGGCCATCAAGCCCGCTGTTATATGCCACAATGTTAGGCGTAGCTGTAGAGTCAAATGTTGCATTCGCAAAGTTTTGAAAACACGAGGCACATGAGCTATGAAAAAGTGTTGCATGTGCCAGACGGACGAGATGTACCCTTGGATGCTTAATGTGCCCCCTCTTTTTAGAGCCTTACGCCACATCTAATTCTCAAAGACAAAAGTAGTCATCTGTTAGTATTTCTTGCTACCGCTGCATAGCGTCTAGATTTACAATACCCATTATATTTATTTTGTGGAGAGTCGTTCACACTTATAAACTTACCCGTGTGCTTAGTTGATGGATGGAGGTGTACTTCACATTGAGTAGCGGAGTATAATCACCAACAATGTTCGCATGCTTCAGAATGTTACTTTTTGAGCAGCGTACAGTATACACATCAACGTATTCTATTTTAGGTGCGTAGTTTTGTATTGTTATTGTTAATTTATTGCGTCCATATTGACGCAATTCGTCTCCTAGCGTTGAGCGCACTGTGAAGTAATTTCCGTTAACATTTACTGTGGAGTAATTCTCCGTTAATTTCATTTTACGGGTAGTGTTTGATGCAATCTCGTCACAGTCAGTGGTCAAGAGGACCGCCAGGTAGCATCTCTGCGTAGGCGCCTCGTACCACGCGCTCTTACGTCACTAACCAGCGCTGCAGCGGCCAGAATTTGAAAGGAATTTGGATACAGATAGGGTTTAGGACAATTTACAGGGGTTGGACTAGCCCTTGGTAGCAGCCAAATCCGTTTTGTTGGAACAAATTGTCCAGAAATCGGATTGCTTGCAAACTTTGTAGGATTCAGTATTGTTTGTGACGATTTTGTGAATGAAATCAATTATGAATTGTTTGTTTATTTACCAATGATAACATAGAGCAAATATTGTCTTATTCAATTCGTTCTTGAAATAAAAATAATTGTGATATTTTTTTAAATCTAACAACCGCAGTGTATTTTAAATTAAACAATTTCGCATTTCTGTCATATCTAAACACTTGTGTTTTACATTTTTTTCTTTGCAAACTGCTATGTATACAAACATCCCGTTTTATTCATTCACCTGTAGTCTTGACCTACATCAGCAAGTGGCATGAAATTTTTGACTTCACATACCCGAACATGGATAAGGTGGAAAAGAAAGGACATTGAGACGGAAATACTCGTATTAACTGAATATAGGAAAAGGTAAACAATAGATCACATATTTTCTTCAATTACAATTACAATCATATTCATACACATTTGGGGTAAACCCAAGATTTATTTCTCTCATAATAGCATTATCTTAAACACTTTACAGAAGATAGTAATATTGAAATATTTTTTGTTATGCACTTTCCTACATTCGTTCATTACTGGGACTTTTCGCCAAAGTATTGAAATTATATCTTCTATATAGCGTTGATTGATGAATAGCATCAATAATTATTTACAGCCAATTATGTAAATAATGGTTTCTCGTCTTACACTCATTAGATTCAAGAAAGAGATTCGGTTCGTAACTCTTAATCACTGTTGGTTAAGCAGGATTTAAAAAGCGTATATCCCTGCGTACTATTATAAAATCAGTAAAAGATAAACCTCAATGGCTATCACACAGGTTTGTTGAATCAAAGTGTTACTATGTCGTTTATAACATGTGTCCAAGCACATTAGAGTCTGAAGAGATTTTTTCAATGCATTTGGCATTGCGGATAATCACGTAATAGAAACTTAAAAATAAATAAGTGATTTTTTTCTTGAATCATCTCATCATTTCCATGATGTTCAAGATAATCTTAATGCATGTTCATACTCTCATTTACATTACCATACATTTTTTCCATTCGGTTTCAAAGCATCAACAGAAAATTATCACTGCGTAGAATGTCCTTGAAACTGATGTCTAAAATAACCAATGCGATCGTTATATTAGACGATTTTTTAATTTTGACTCTATAGGCACACTCAGGATATTAATTTAGGAAGTCTAATTTATTCCATTGTATAAAGTTGCTTCACTGTTATGCTTTTGCACATTCACGGGAAGTTTTTCGGTATTCCCAGATGTAATTTATAAAACAGCACAGACACTAAACTCATTTATATGGAAATGTGATTTTCATGTCGTAAATATTGTTCCTACTTGAGTTATCGTCAGTATTAGTTTGACTCAATAGCTTTGATGTATTTCTGTTCGTATTTCTTCTCATAAGAATTATTTAAAACGCGTCACAACGAAACGAAATATTCCCATCGTGTCTCTACAATCTTCTTTGGCATAAAATTTTCCAGAAAGGGTCACAATCACAGGACATGTTCAAAATTTCACTTGTGAATTATATCCACTTTGCCCAACGAGAACAGATCCGTCGACAGTAGCATGCTGAATTGGAAGGGAGTAGCAAGAACATTTAATCAGATATGCGAATTACGATCGAAGGGCGAACATGATTTTGAAGAAAATGTTCACCTTCAGCTCACGAAAAATTTCTGCCAGAGAACATATCACGTTCTTTTCCCGGGATGGTGTAAATTTCGTTAACTCTCCTCTTGCGAGAAGGAAATTTTCTGAAACTGAACAATCATGTTCATGGATGGATGATTGAAAGCTCTCTGATGGCTCATGGCCCCTGAGCGGATTGACTCAGTTCTTCGTTCACTGTACACAACAAATCCAGCGTTAGCGAAGAGGATCTTTATGAGTTGGGTTCGATGCTTCGGATATCGGGACACCATTCAGTGGAGAAAGGCAAATGTATGAGAATGTATTGCAAGCCTATGAATTTTATGTATTTCCCTAATTGATAAACTGATCTTTCCATAATGAAAGGGTTCCATGGGAGACTAATATACTCTTGCAAATTTTCTTTTCACATCAGATATTACGGGCATGAAGTCTGAAACTGAGAATAAAATTTGCAGTTTGTACCTTCTAACTCTACTTACAGATTTTTGTAATTACCTTGTGTTTTGAGATATCAAAATTGAAATATGGAAACATGGAAATTATTTGTAAAAAGACAACATAATTCTTGGTCGGAAATGATTTTGTGACTGAAACTGCGTATGTTGATAAGTACATCTACGAATTTGAATTTAAATGCAGAAAAAACAAAAAAGGGAGACGAAAGAGAAAGATGGGAAAAGTGGGAAGAAAGGGAAAGAAAAATAGAAGTAAAGAAAAACAAAATACGTAGTAAAGAAACTCTTTCTCAATGCCTAGACCTTTTCTTTTGTTTGAATATTCAAGAGAAAAATCAAAGTTGCCCATCTTATAATACACACGGCAGTATGTGTTCTACATTTCGTTTTTGTAGTACATTACAACAGCATTATGTTGGAATTTTTAAACCACGAATGCATAGAAAAAATTGTATTCATTTTCACAACGTAATGGATATCTTATAATTTTACAGTAATGAAGACATATTGATATATATTATTCATTGGTATGTCATAAATAATTTAATTCTTAGATATCACTGTTGCTTACCGATATTTTGTCGTAGAATATATACCAAATATACTTCGAACTACAAAAAATAATTATGTCATCTACAGGATTTAACATTAATATAAAGTTTTTTGGGAGAGGGGAGGGTTGTCTCATGTTTGCAAGATAAGTAACTACTGAAATGCTTCCAAATTAATAAAACTGCATTATTCCAAAGCACATTTCCCTCTCTTGGTAGTCACGGACATGTTGCTGTGTGCTGTGATGCTTGCCTAGGCTGGATGAGTCAGGAAGTCATCATTCCACTCACAAAAAAAGTGACTCTTAACAACACTGATTCATTCGACAAACATGATTACAAACCTATCTCAAAAAAGTGCTGGCTGTAAAATATTAAGAGCTGAGATTGACTTTTACAAAATTTGGCTCTGCACAACAGAAAATTAATCCCATTTTGAACAATTTGCTGATTATTAATTTCATACTTCTAAAAAAAGACATGGCACGATTTGATCTTGACCGTTGTTGAATCATTTCTAGGCCAAGTCCACTTTTCTAAATTTGCGCGACAAAGTTCAGGAAGTCTGTCTGTTTTCTTGCATCTGTTGAAATAATGAAACAATGATGAGGATAGAAAAAACTGATATCATATATCGGTCTGCAAGAGAAAGTGCATATTGTTTCATTTTTTCAAAATGTTTAATCTTTTAGAAATAATACCACTATATAATGCCGCATTAAATTTCAAATTTTGGTATCTAACATATGCCCTTAATACTTTGAAGATAACACTTTTGCAGTGGAACCTCGTTAATTTAAAATTAAAAATACTTTATTTCTACGAATTGCAGAAGCTTTGAGTTAAAGAAATTATTGAATTAACGAGGTCTCAATAAAGAAAATTCAATAACAAAAATTAAATTACGTTGCATTTAAAACTTGTGTACTGAAACATTTATTTGATCGACGCCTTACTAATCGTGAAAGAGTTGGACATGCCAAACAATACCCTTCATTTTCCAGCAACAGTTTTTCATTAGATTTTTGATATGAGAAATTCGCAGACAATTTCTTGCAGGAGTTCCAGTTCCTTTGCTGCGATTTTCTCAAGAACACGACCATTCTTAATGATTATCGAAATGACGCGGCTGGAATCAACGAGCGACTGTATGCAAGTTCGTTCGGCGCACTGCCCTTCGCTTGGCTGGGCGGCTGCATATGGAGCTTATTGCACAGACATCGGACCGTGAAAGGGTCATGTGTTATCGAAGTATTCTACTTGCAGAGTGGATGGCATATTGAGGCGAATACACACTTGAGCGCTAGCACCAACTAAGAACTGATAATGGGGAGGTGAGCTCTCAGGCTAGATTCGCCTGATAAATGGGGAGCAGATCAGAAACCGAAAGAACCACTAGACGTTTGAACATCTTGTGAACACTGAAATGTGGATGGACATGGGTAGAAATGCCAGCATACGTTTTTGTATAAGCATTTTTTAAAGGTTGATTTATTTATAATCGTATCAAGCGCATGGCTTTTGACAACTTTATCAGCTGAATAAATAGTACGAGTACTATTTTACTTACTCCTCCATGACTATTTTAGAATGAAAGTGAGAAGCACGACATTCTCAAATTTCACCTGCATGACGGAAGATGATTTCTTTTTATTGTTGAAATAAATTGAAATTATTTTAAGGAATTAGAGATCAACATTTTGGTGAGCCATCCAATTAATGAACAGCTATGTTAAGTTAAGAAGTTCCCCGTGAACACGAATGAAACATGTAGTTGCTGACTTTGATCTACCGATAACCATCTTCTTGCTCCCAACTGTGTCGAATGCTCTGACATGCTTGGTTCGTTTCGAATTCCAAATTACACCAACCAGCGCTCGAGTGCCCGGTTGGGACAAGCTCGTACGGGTTCACTCTCAAGCGTATATGCGCTTTTGCACTTAGCTGCCCAACTGGTAACGTAGTTCTCAAGCGCTTGCAGCTAAGCGCCCTCAATGAAACCGAGTGATCTTCGGTTCCGAACCTTGCCTTCCATTCCAGAAAGAGTACTTCTTTGAGTGGCAAGGTTCGTTACTCAGGGCCGAGTCGCGGGCGCTGACGGTCGCCCCGTGGCCCCTCCTGGTGCGACGCGAGGGCGCGGGCGCGGGAGTGCGTGCGGGGCGGGCGCCATTAGCTGGAGGGCGCGCTGCCGAAGTGCGGGGGC